AAAATTGAGTTGATGGGTACGTTTGTTAATTTACCATCGTAAAGGGGTACAAAATACTATTAACCCTATTTATAATTGGATCGACTTGTGGATTGATAATGTGGCTTAGAAGACTTCAAATCATTTAAAAATGGGTTATATGTGTAATATGCCATCTACTTTACATTTTTCTCAAACATGTCTCTCTACTCTAAATTACATCAAATCTACCCCTATACTATTAAACCTTGCTCAAACCTACCCCTCCGTTAGTATTTTGGTCTCAGAATCTTCAAATTTGGTCCACCCGGAATTGGTTAGTAAAATGTCATGGATATGAGAGACTAAAAGACAAGTTTATCCCCTCTTTCATTGCCAAAAAAGCGCTCCCATCCACTGATCCACAACCGGTCGCCATCAAATCGAACAACTTCTTCCACGCATACCTCCCCCTCCGCCGATCCCATTTTCCCCACCCCTGTGTTTCTCGTGCTGATGCCACCACCTCACCGTCATCGTTGATCTCGAAGTCCATCTTCCCAACAGTAGACCTTCCAGCAACCCCAATCCCTAAGACAGTATGATTGACGAATTTAGGCTTTGGGAATTGACGAAAGACACAGAGGGAGGGGTCAATTATTTACCAAGGTGTGTAGTCTTACGATAAGAGGTCAAATAACAGGTTCGGGTGCAGGGAAGGCCGAGAATTAGGGAATGGTCGGGAATCAGAAAGATAGAGAGAGGCTCAGAGGATCGACATCGGCGTGGCTATGCCGCATAAGAGGAACACAGAGGAAGGGGCTGGGGTCCCGAGAGCGGTCAAGGATGCGGAGGAGTTGGAGGTCTCCGCATCAATCAGTCGCCGAGAAAAAACAAAATTGCTGGAGGGATTGGGGGAAATGTAGGGTAGGGGGATTGATGTCGTGTTTGCTCCTGTTGGGGGTAATCGGAGATGGTAAATGAGGAAAAGTTAATCTGCTAACTTGAAGATTCGTTAGCAGATACTAACTGATATCCAAAATACATGAGCTAATATCCAAGTACTAATGTATCTAGAGAGCACATACTAGTATTCAAAGTTTGCTAACTGATATCCACCATGAATCAATTATTATCCCAAATTCACAAACTAATATCTAGACAACACAGATTAGTATCCAAACAACACATAATTAGTATCCAGATAACACATAAGAGTATCCACATAACCCATAAGAGTAACCATATTGAATACTAGTTGGTTGATTATGGATATTAGTTGGTATCTGCTATCTGAATACTAGTTTGTGATGTTTTGAATACTAGTCTGTTCTATCTAGATACTTAGCATACTTGGATATTAGTTCATACATTTTGGATATTAGTTAGTATATACTAACGAATCTTCAAGTTAGCAGAATAACTAGGCTGTGGTAAATGAGGGGGAAGTTGGGGACGATGAAACGGAACTAAGGGGAGTAGATTTGTCTTTTAGTCTCCCATTTTCAATATATTATATTGACCGATTTGGATTGGATTGGATTGGGTTTAACAGTTATGGGACGGAAATACTAACAGAGGGGTAGATTTGAACCATGTTTAGCAATAGAAGAGTAGAATTAATGTAATTTAAAATAAAGGGGCATGTTTGAAAAAAATGTAAAGTAGAAGAGAATATTATGCATATAATCCTTTAAAAATGTGAATAAAAATTATCAACACAAAAACTCATCGGACCAACGGATGCATAAAAGCTCATAGAAATTTAAAAATAAAATGCAAATCCTCTTGTTTGTTTGTCTTGTAATCTTTTTGTTAGTAACAAGAACACTCTATCAGTCCACTAATGTGTGACGAGACTACCATTCAGCCCATCAGCGATTGACAAAAAGTGGCAAATATATATTGTGGGACCAGAGATAGCCATCAGAGCGTGATCTCTTTACAGACCAATTTCAATTCGTTCAAAGCAAACCCCAACTCTCATATGCGGAGCCCGCCTATATTGCCTTTGTCCCAGGACAGGGGTAATATTTAGTTGGTAAAAAATACTCCACATATATATGTACCCAACACCTATAAGTAATATAAAGATATTTTGCCACTACATCATAGCTCATTACTTGTTTAATAATTGATAAAAAAATATTTAATTTATTTATTCCATTCATAATAATTATTCAACAATAGCTTGAGTATTATCATGATGTTATAAGATTTCATTAATTGAAAGTAATTGATGAATTATCTTGAACAATGATGGAGACAAAAGTACGTAAGTCATATTCGTCAGTTTATTTGCTTCTGAAACTAGTTTGATTCTACCCGTTGCAAGTGTAAGTGTAGAAATAACATTTTTAGCTTGCACTATACTAATATCAAGTTTCGAAGTCGAATTGACGATCAATTCGCTAATGATTATTTAATAGGATAGATTGAAAGAGGCTTACTTAAAAGTATAGACAACGAATGTATTTTGCATTGCTTTGAGAATATGAAAATTCGTCATAGTTGTTTATACAAACGTCAATTGTATTAGTCGGTTATTTATTTATTTATAAATAAATTATTTAAATATTATTGATTTTAATTATATTAATTATATATTTATATTATGAAAAGAGGACAGGGTGGTATCAAATCCTGCCTACACCACCGCCTAGGGATGGCAATGGGTCGGGTTGGGTCGGGTTTTGCCAAACCCAAACCCATGGGTTTATCCGTGAAAAAAACCCGGGGTAAAACCCACTGGGTTTGAAAAACTCAAACCCAACCCAACCCGTTGGGTATCCGCGAGTTCATGGGTACCCATAGATTTTTGTCCTAAAAAATTTACAATAACAAGTTTCTATCAAAATTAAAGTCAAATATCAATCTCTCAATACAAATTGTCCATATATAAAACACCATTCTAGAAAATTCAAGCAAATCACAATTTAACTATACAAATTATTCAACACCAATCTAGAAAACTCAAGAAAATTGAAGCAAATCACAAATTATCCATAAATAACATGATTAATTGAAAGCTTCTTCCTTCAATTAAATTTCTTCACTCCCCACTCGATAACATCAACTTCATTCTACACAATTAGAAAGAAAATATTATGACTTGTCTCCACAAACATAAATAAGATTAGTTGTTTAAAATATTAAATATACCTAAAAAATTAATTATATATATGGGTGTGGGCGGGTACCCATAGAGCGAGTTTACCTAAACCCAACCCAACTCAACCCCGTGAATAGTGAACGGATTTAAACCCAAACTCGACCCAAAACCCTTTAACACGAATTTTACCCGCATTGACCGGGTTAAGTCGGGTGGGTACCTGTGTGTTCGGGTTTTGTTGCCACCCGGCCACCGCCCACTCTTCTTATTTACGAAAGCTACTGCCCTGTTCACTTCCCATTTTGTTTTCTGATTTTTGTTGTGAAAATAAAAATCAAGAAACAAATAGCAAAAAACATGTTCACTTCTAATTTCTATTTTCGTTGGGAAAACCAGAATGCCATAAATGAGGTAGCTGGCGGAAAACAATAAAAAGACGTTTTGGGGAAACTATGACACGGGTTTCTCCCCGTTGCCTGGCGGAAAATCATCACTGTGCACTTATGAGTCCCCCTGTTCGAATCCCGCCAGCTACTTTTTTTTTCCTTTCTTGTTTTGCTAGCCAGGGAGGCTTCCCTGCCTTCCCACAATTAGGGATGGCAATCAAACCCATGACCGCGGGTACCCGACCGCCCCATACCCAGTCAACGCGGGGAATCCCCGCTTTGACCGGGTATGGGGCGGGTATGGGTAAAACCCGCAAAAGGTTTGATGGGTATGGGGCGGGTATGGTTTTAGCCTCCCCCGCCCCATACCCATACCCATACCCGCCCCACCAAGAGAATTTCTTCACATATCAAAAAATACGTGGATTAAATTGTAATCTATCAATGATGATGATGATAACTCGAGAAAATAAATAGTAGAAATGCAATTAAGTAACCACCTTAATCAAAACCTAATTCATTTCCCTCAATTCTCCTTCCACTCTTTCACTTTCCCCCTTGTCAACAAAATTATGTTAGTTAATTATTACTTAGTAAATGTATCAAGAGTTAGAGCATAATAATTTAAAAAATATTATAGTCTATATTATGTATTAATGGATGTTTTAGGATCATATTCTTTGAATCGTATTTAGAAAATGACCGTGTTTTGTTGACTTCGTGATATAATAAGTTTGTTTATGGTTATAATTAAAACTTTTCTTGTAAGTTTTAGGTATAATAATGTTGGATGTACGGGGATGGGTATTACCCATGGGTATCCGAAACCCACGGGTATGGGGATGGGTTTGCAAAACATTCCCCCGCATGGGTATGGGGCGGGTATGGGTTTGGGTATTTGAAGATGGGGATGGGGATGATTTAGGCAAACCCGCCCCAAACCCGCCCCATTGCCATCCCTACCCACAATCCTATTTTTTTGCTTTTTTTTTTTTAGTTAATTTGCTTGGCGGTTTTGGCTTAGCATTTTCCCATCAAATAGTAATAGTTGATTTACCATGTGTAAATTTTTTTAATCCAAACTTTGTTTTTTCTATGTATACCCACCGAAATTGTTTACCCATATATGTTTACAAAATTTCACTTTTCTACATTGTTTAACCTCAATTATAAGATATATGAATTTAAATTAAATAATGATTAAAAACATTATTAGTGGTTAAACTATTGATTCGTGTTAAAATATATAATCATGACTAGAGTTGTATAATAATCAAGTTGTGGGATGGCTTTCAAGCTGGACTTATTTGAATTTTTATGTTGTACTAGTACTTAATTAATATAAGATGTTGTACTTGTATTGTGTTTATTTGTAGTTTAAAAACTATTTAATTCGAATTATAATCATGGCTAGGTTTGTATGGTACTCAATGAACAAAATTGTGGTATTCAAGAATCAGAAAACAATATGAAGCAACTAAACATGTTTTCATTTTCAGAATTCAGTTTTAGAACTCACCAAAATTCTCAGCTAAACAAGGTTTTTTCATATTTTGTTTTCCAGGAAATGGCAGTTTCGTTTTCATTTCAATTTTGTTTTCTGTTGTGACAGCTAACAGAAATCCGAATGGCAACTAAACGGCCCATACGGCTCTCTCAAACTTACGAAAGCCGTAGTTCCTTTCACTCGCCAATCCGAGATCATGTACAGGTCTGCTGTTGCCGCCAGGCTGCTGAGAGATACAGCCGCCGCACAGAAAGGTTCGGGTTGGCTAAGTTCGCTCAATCATTCCAGGTACAGTGAAAACATATTCCCTTTTCTAGTATCGATTTTTTGCGAATCATTTGGTCACCTGGGTTTGTCTTCCTTTTGGTGGAAGTATAGTGCAGTTATTGGGTTTATTGATCTTTTGTTGGGTTGTCTTGCTTGATCGCTTTGGCTTTGTGGCAGGCGGTTTGCTCACTCTTTGCCCTTCGCAACCGTAGATGCTGAAGAGTTATTGGGTGCTCGACCAGCTGAAGTACAAAACCTGGGTAGGTTTTGGGATTCCCTCCTTCATTTCAATGTAGAAATGCTGATTAAGTTACCGAGATTTACCTAGATTAAAAAAATGGCTGAGTCGTGTTTTGTGGCTGCCATTCGCTGATCTACAGTACAGGGGAAATGGGGAGGATCTTCTAGGTGGAACACAATTGTGGATCCTTTAAACGGGGAACCATTTATTAGAGTTGCTGAAGTAGATGAGAAAGGCATCAAGGTTAGTCTCTGATTCTCAATTCAGTATTATTTTTCTCCTGCTAGCTTCTGGTACGTTGCTGAAGTAGGTGCGGTACACGTACATCTCATATGATTGTTGGTTGGATTGTCTGTGCAGCCATTTGTGGAGAGCTTGTCCAATTGTCCTAAACATGGGCTGCACAATCCATTTAAGTTGCCTGAGAGGTTTGAGTTTCTACCCTTAAAGTTGTTATTTGTTTGACGATGTCTAATTCGCTTTGCTGGTTTGGGCAGGTATCTTCTGTATGGGAACATATCCTCGAAGGCGGGGCACATGCTTTCATTACCAAAGGTAAACATATTATTTGGGACTTGGGATATCATTCTCTCAAGTTTATCAGGTCTAAGTTGAACTTCATATATGATTCTTGTGACTACCACAAGAAACTTGAATGGTTTTAATCCCCAATGATTTTCAGGTTTCTGATTTCTTCGCAAGGTTAATACAAAGAGTTTCCCCAAAAAGTTATCAGCAAGCGCTTGGTGAAGTTCAAGTCACACAAAAGTTTCTTGAGAATTTCTCCGGTGATCAGGTTGACCACCACCACTATACTTGAGAATTTTCCAATTTCATCATTTTAGATTAGCAAACTTATATAATTGTATGAATAGGATGAAATGTAACACTGGATGTATGGAACGGTTAAACCGAATATATGACTGCCCTAGCTAGTGCTTCAATAAAAACTTATCTCTTTGATCAATCTCCTGCATGACATATTTCTATATACCAATGTGGCTTTTGCAAGCTCTGAAATTTATGTGTTCCTGTGGTTTCACTAGTTATCGGTGCACATTTAACTTCTTGTCTCTTTTGTTTATTTTGACCCTTTCAACCTTGTGAATTTGCTAGGTTCGATTCTTGGCAAGGTCGTTTGGGGTGCCTGGAAATCATCTTGGACAGCTAAGTACTGGCTTCCGATGGCCTTATGGCCCAGTAAGTACCCCATATATCACTTTCTATTGTCAGGAAATATTACCTATATAAATTGTCAATGAGAGTGCACATCTCAAATAAAGACAATCTGCAGCAAGACAGTACTACTATGTGGACAACCTAGGTTCTCTGTTTTTCGTTTCGATGTTGAATTGGAGCTGTGCAAAACCTTATGTATACTGCTAGTGTGGGGAGTATATGGGGAGAAAATCTACCTGCACAGATTGTTCTATGCTCGTTTGCCAAGTGCTTGAACTCTTTGATTCGTCTGAAGCTTTAAGAGTATATGTAGTTGATAGCCTAAGTCGGTTGGTGCATGCTACTTGTTTGCTTAGAGAATTTGGATCGTTGTTCACAAGCCTTCCTTATTTGTATGTTTATGCAGGTTGCCATTATTACTCCTTTTAATTTCCCACTCGAGATTCCGGTTCTTCAGTTGATGGGTGCACTATATATGGGCAACAAACCCCTGCTTAAGGTTGATAGCAAAGTAAGTTTTTTGTTGTTATGTTATTTCTTGACAATAAATCAGTAAGTTTATTGCAAATTATTTGTTGAAAGTGCATTCCTGGCTTATGTTGTCTTAGCTAAACAAGCAAGTTGGCATATACTGAATACAACAGAGAGAAGGCAGAAATCTGCAATTCACAGCTTGCTTATGGTGCTGAGGATGCACAATGAACATAAATAGGAGCAAGCTGGCATATAGTCTTCTAGGTCTGCTGGCATGGGGGCTTTTGCCTCAACGTCCTACTCCTACCTGTTAATTTTACCCTTTCTTTACCTGCCCTTATAGGGTTATAATCGTGGCCGATATGACCTGTTATTGCTAGGTATCCATTGTTATGGAACAAATGATGAGACTACTTCACTATTGTGGGTTGCCTGAGGAAGATGTTGATTTTGTTAATTCGGATGGGAAGACTATGAACAAGATACTAATGGAGGTTAGTTTTGCAGGAATTGAATATGTCTGTCAACCCTGTCCTTTTTGGTGTCTCTATGCTCTTCCCCTGGGTTTGGGAGATTACTATCCATATCTACTGCTTGGAAATTTATCCCTACATAACATTTACTTTTCGTCTTTATTGTTATCTATTGTCAAAGCAATTCTGCTGTCTAAATCAAATTTTTGTATAATCTTGTGTTTGATTGGAAATGGTATTATGCCCTTTGTCATCTTTGGTAGGCAAATCCACGGATGACACTGTTTACTGGTAGCTCGAGAATTGCAGAGAAGTTGGCTGTTGATTTAAATGGTCGTGTCAAGTTGGAAGATGCTGGATTTGATTGGAAAATTTTGGGACCTGATGTTGGTGAGGTAGTATTTCCAAGAAAGAAATATTTTATGTGCAATACTTGGTCTCCCGTTTTATGCATCATATAGCTCTTTAAGTTATTTACTCTCCACTTTCAATTTGTTGTAGGCTGACTATGTTGCTTGGGTCTGTGACCAAGATGCCTATGCATGTAGTGGTCAGAAGTGCTCTGCCCAATCCATTCTGTTCATGCATGAGGTTTGCTCCCCCTCTTCCCTTGTTCTACCTGGAACGGTCGAAACCCACCACCACCTTGTTTACATGTTTGGTTTCTTTATCTCTCCAAATCTATTGAATAATGTTGCAGAACTGGGCTGCTACTCCACTTCTTTCAAAATTGAAGGAGCTTGCAGAACGGAGAAAATTGGAAGATTTAACTGTTGGCCCTGTTCTGACTGTAAGCACAAACATCTGCTCATTGGTGTTCTAGTTTTTTCTTTGGGTCTCTTTGTTAAGGCAGCTCCCGAGGTATAACTCAAATTGATTCTCTTGTGTTGTTGCAGGTTACTACTGAGGCAATGCTGGATCATGTGAACAAACTGCTTAAGATACCCGGGGCAAAGCTGCTCTTTGGTGGGAAGCCACTGGAGAATCATTCCATTCCATCCATCTATGGTGCCGTAAAACCAACAGCCGTGTATGTCCCTCTGGATGAAATTCTGAAACACGGCAACTATGAACTTGTGACCAAAGAAATATTTGGACCATTCCAGGTAAAAAGGAACAACAAAAAAATGAAAGCTACTGTAATTTCCTTACGTTTATGATCTAGTGTGATTCAAGATTATTTGGAGAGATGAACAATTCTAATGATCGGCTTGACTTATGGCATCTATCTAGGTGGTAACGGAGTACAAGAAAAGTCAACTCTCCATGGTTTTGGAGGCTTTGGAGAGGATGCATGCACATTTGACAGCTGCTGTAGTTTCAAACGATCCCCTGTTTCTGCAGGCAAGAAGACTACTTTAGTGTCTTTACTCGCTCTTGATTATTCGAGTTCTAAAACCGAGTTGGATTCTGCAGGAAGTTATTGGTCAGTCTGTTAATGGCACTACTTATGCTGGGCTGCGAGCAAGAACAACAGGAGCTCCCCAGAACCACTGGTAAGACCTTGTTTTTCAGTTCAGCATTGTCGTGCGAAATTTCCGCTGTAATGTGACGGCATGGTATGTGATGAAAATGGCAGGTTTGGACCGGCTGGGGACCCGAGAGGTGCAGGAATTGGAACTCCAGAAGCCATTAAACTGGTTTGGTCTTGCCACCGCGAGATCATATACGATATCGGTCCGGTGCTGCAGCTATGGGAAATTCCTCCGTCTACTTGAGCGAACCCTTCCATTATTGTCTCCCGCTCTGTTTTAAACCATTGTATGGAGCAGACTGATGTATGAGAAGTAGCCAACCGTTTCTTGACTACGTAGCCAATTGCCTTGCCAATAAAATGAGCGGAAGCATGTTCTGTGTTGATTGTTCAGAGTATGAACCATTTCTTCAGACGAGTATGACAAGAAATAGAGGAAAATGAGGATAAGAACCAAAACGAATCAGCATAGAACGTCATAAGAAACACAGGGAAAATGACGATCAAGAACCGGATGGAATCAGCATAGAACGACATAGAAAATTGAGGCAAAATAGGTTCGAAGTTTAATCAAACGTGCAATTTGCGCAATCCAATTTTGATGAGGTCCACTTTTCCGTCGTTCTAAGAGGATTTATAATATCAAACTTAAAGCGAACTACATCTGCTTCAATCGAATTTTATCCAAATATCAATCCAATGCCAATTTAAACTGAGTTTTGGTGCTCCCCTACTCTAATTCATCATTGAATATCGACTCTTCATCTGAAAGAACTATAGACTACCCAGATCAAATAAAGGAACCGCTTATTGATTGGACCTGGTCACCTGGACGAAACTTAAACTCAAAATTGGACTAGTTGGAGTCACAGGGGAGAATATGATGAGCCCACAATATAGAAAACTCTCGGTTCTCTAGTTTTAGCTCAACTATCAACACCTTAACTCAAATGCAAAAAAGGTCATTACAAGAGAACCTAGCTCTGCTCACCTTTAGCTTCACTCCTTAATCTGCTGATGGAAGTTGCTACAGAACTACAGAGTGGGGCTTCTGAGGCTAGAGAGCCAACATACTCCTTAATTGCTTTCAGCTCTTCGTGAAACTCAGTGTGCAGTATCAAAGTGGAGAAGTTTTCATCCACGACCAGCCCAAAACATCTGACAATGTCATCGAGTTTAGGAACCCAAGCACAAGCTTTTAACCCTAATGCATTAGAAGCCTTGGGACAAGGTACAGCCTCAGGAAACCTTTCATACTTCTTCAACCATTTCCCCAAATATCTTACCAAGCACATCAACTCTCTACCGTTCAGCTTACTGATCGCTGCTGACATAATCACCTCATCAATATTTGAAGATGCCAGCAAGTAATGCAGGTAGAGCTCGGAAGTAGAGAAGCCATCATATGCAAGCATAAGCAGAACTGCAGCCTCTTTAGCCAACCTCGACTTCTTGTTGTCCAACAAGCTCATGTCGCTTGCTTTGTCAATGGCAGTCAAAGCTTGGCTTTCCCATTCTTTCCTTACATCTGCCATAGCATTGTAAGCCTCTCTTGAAGGGCACAGAAAATACTTCACAACGCCAGTCAATTCCGACAGTCCAAGATCAGTGGCATATTTGATACATAGGCAAAGAATATCAGACCTCTTTCTGGAAATCAGGCTCTCGACCAAGCTTGAATAACATGAATGGCCAACTAACCGGTTAACAATCAACGTCTCCACCATGTCCCATATCTCAAACTTGAGACTTGCTTCAAGAACCAAACTCGCCACATCTTGACCCATAAAAAACCCTATCTTCCGGAGCAACGCACAAGCATAATCAGCATCATTAGCCGAATCTGCAGCAACAGAGAGCCCTAATATCTCCCTAACTTCCTCTAGAAATGGCTTCAACAGTGTGATGAACTTTTCTTTAGTGAAACTATTGGTGTCCTTGAGCTTCCGCTTCAGCTTAGGGTGGAACTTCTTGCTAATCTCGATGACTTTGGTATCGGTTTGGGAAGGTTGCCACCCAGATACAGGGCTGACAAGGACAGTAGCATTTGGAGTTTCAAGCTGAGGCTTCAAATTTAAAAAAGTTTCATCTGGATTAAGGATTATTGGGTATTCGGACCCAGTTGCAGTGTCTTTGGAATTGGTAGCAGCCCTTGTGATCACTTCCAGCAACGACATGGCAAAGCGTGGCAAAATGGGAGCTTCAGATACAATGAGAAGCTGGAGAATAACACACAGACAAACAAAGCAAAAGCAAAAGCAAATCAATTGAAAAGTGAAAAATCCGTAAGACAAGTCAACTGTTTTCCCAACCTAGCAAAACCTTAAAACATCCAACGAGAACTCCAGGAAAAAGGAGGAAGTAGAGGACACACATTGGTAGCAGTAGGTCAGAGATTAGAACGAAACGAGAAGGCGGCAAGAACCAAATATCAAACGCTCTGACGAACCTGGGGAGGCTAAGCAGGTACTTGAATAAACTTCGACTGATAGCAGCAACCAAGCAAATGGCGAATCCGAAGGTTTAACGAGGCACAAATTGGTTGCTAGGGTTTTACAGAAAGCCGAAAGGGGTTGCTTGCCAAAGAGTAGTTTTTTCCCGTTGTTTATTTTGGGTTTGTGGTCGTATGGGCTTTAACTGGAGAATGTGGACTCGGCCTTTGGGCTTTTCCCCCTTTACAGAAGGGCTTTTCATAAAGACTTGGAGGTAAAGGTGGTTTGGTTCTGCCAAACAATTTTTTTTATTATAAAAAAATAGGGGTGGTTTGGTTGACTTAACTAATGCTGACTCACTAAGCAGGTTTGGTTGAATTTTCAGGAAACCAACTTTACCAACATGCCTTTTTGTACTGTTCAAAAGCTCTCAAATTACCACAGTTTACACCGAGTTTCCCACTATCAATCTACAGCTGCCGCTTGCGGAGCCTTCAATGATCCTCTTCGGAGGTCTCTCTCAGACATACCCACTACATCCATCAATGATCCTCCCCTGAGGCTCCTCACAGCATCAACAACTGAGACACACATTAAAGTCTCGCCGCAGTTATGCAAGGAAGGTCAGAAGATCTCAGAAAATCAAAAGAGAGTTAAGGAAAAGAGTTGTAGTAATGAGACCTCAGTCTGCAGCGCCGCTAACCTAGCCTATAAGGGGAAGAGCAAACAGTATCAGGCTTACTACAAGATCTCCCTACCACCACCCAAACCACCAGAGGAAGAACCAGTCACGGCCAACAGAGGAGAAGGAACACTGAAGGCGATCACAAAGCAGGAAGATCAAAAGTCAGTCTTCGAAGACACGCATCAACAACCCCTGGTGGAAAGAGCTCCCTGCAATAAATGTCTAAGGGAAGCACCCGAGATAGCTGTATCTTCCATAAGGTAAGTTCCTTATGCACCCTGCTCAGACATAAATTCCTGACTGCCGTGTCCAGTGATTGGCTGCAGTAGAAATTAATGTGACCTCAGTCTGCAGCGCCGCTAACCTAGCCTATAAGGGGAAGAGCAAACAGTATCAGGCTTACTACAAGATCTCCCTACCACCACCCAAACCACCAGAGGAAGAACCAGTCACGGCCAACAGAGGAGAAGGAACACTGAAGGCGATCACAAAGCAGGAAGATCAAAAGTCAGTCTTCGAAGACACGCATCAACAACCCCTGGTGGAAAGAGCTCCCTGCAATAAATGTCTAAGGGAAGCACCTGAGATAGCGACTTGGGTAAACATCACACCAATCATTCACATTAATTTCTACTGCAGCCAATCACTGGACACGGCAGTCAGGAATTTATGTCTGAGCAGGGTGCATAAGGAACTTACCTTATGGAAGATACAGCTAGCACCCACGGCAAGCAAAGGAGGAATGAATACAGTCACCACCACTTACCCCATATGGCAATTAAGAGGAAAACTGACACCTCCAATCAAAAATGGATACGCCAGGGGAAAAGATACACATCCGAGAGCATTAAATGGTTTGGTGGTGGACTATCTGATACTAGTGGGGGAGGGAAGGTGCTATTTAAGGAAGACAAGTTCAGGAGACTCAAACCATCATCTTTATCTGATCAACAAACCAAACGAAGAGAGCGAAGGTATATCAACAAGCTTCCAATCCCTGTCAACCAGCAACCCCATGGAAAACAATATGCAGAGTGTGAGAGGAGAGAAGAGCCATCTGGTATTAAATGTGAGACCAACAATTGTGGGGGCGAGAGGTAGCGGTATGTCCATGCTGCTGGGCAAATGGATCACTGATGCCAGCGTCAACCTACACAAGGCGAAAAACGCAGCAATCAGCAAATGGAGAGCCTACGGGGACATCCAAACAACGAAGGAGGCAGAGAACCTGTTCGTCTACACATTCCAATCACAACAGCAGAGAGATGCAATCTGGGACGCTCGACCATGGAATCTGAGCAACACCCTCATAGCCCTGAAGAAATGGGACGGGGAACAAAAAGCGGAATCTGAAGATATCCCAACAGTCACCCTGTGGATCCAGATGCATGACCTCCCCCAATCGCTGAAAGATGAGGAAGCTGTTCAGGCGGTAGCGGAACACATCTTTCCCCAGTTCCACTGCATCGATCGCTCCAACTTTGACTTCCGAGGCTGGCTTAAGTTCGTCAGAGCCAAAGTTGAAGTTCAACTGGATCAACCCCTACCAATTGGGTTTGAGTACCCGCTGGGGGAGCGCTCCATCTGGGTTGGATTCAAGTACGAGAGGATAATGGACCTCTGCTTTTTCTGTGGCAAACTTGGGCATCTGATTCACAACTGCCCCACAAGAGAGGATCACAGAAGGAGAGGCCTAAGCATTGAACCATCCGAGGTTTACAATGCAGCTCTGAAGGCTGGGCACGACTCACCTGCAAATACGCCGCCGGCGTCATTCCGAGAGAAAAAAGCTCTAGCCCGCCGACCCACCCTCACCGGACACCCGACTAACTTTATTCGGGGATCCCGAGGCGACTCCTCCTTTCTGCAAATGATGGGACATACTGGCCAAAGCTCTTCCTCGAGCCCACCAGGATTTACTGCCATGGCACTGCCACATGCAGGAGGGAACTCAGAGTGGATTCAGAGGGGAGAGGTCAGAGCAGCAGCCGCTAACATCCAACCGGAGATGGAAGCAACCACTAGGGCCCTGCAGCGGAATCTTGGCCTCGGGGAAGGAAAGATCTCTAAGGAAAAGAATATGGGCCTTTTCGAAATGGGCCAGACACTATCTCTGGGCAACCCTTTCTATACCCAAGCTGAGCCCACCCATCTTCCAGGCAACTCCCAGCAGGCCCAGCCTTTTAACCCACAAGAGCAACAACCTAATCCGAGCCCAGAGAAAGGAGCAACGGAAGAGGAGCAGATCACCAGGCCCAGGCCAGAGAAGAAAAGAAAACCTGAAACTCTCAATAGCCCAGCAATGTCCACCCCACAGATGGAGGCCTCAACTAACGTGATTTTTGATTCTCTGTCATTTGCTCCAGGTGATAACCAGAAGACTTACCAGAGAAGAAGGCACATCACAAGAAGGAGAAGCATAGCAGAAATAACAGCGAATGGGAACTACTCCGGGGAAGGGGAATCCTTCTCCCCGAGGGCGGCGGCGGCGAGCCTCAAGCTGCCAATCCAGAAATGAGAATCATCAGCTGGAATTGTAGGGGATTCGGCCAATCCCTTACAAGAAGCAACTGCCGCAGACTCTGTCGGCAATTCGGCCCTTCATTACTCTTTCTCATGGAAACCAGAAAGGAAGACCCCTTCATGGAAGAAAAGAGGAGGGAAATGAAGTTTGTGCATTCGAAGTACGTCAGCCCTGCAGTAGAAGGCAGTGGACTAGCTCTGTGGTGGAAAGATGACCTAGATGTTATTGTTTTAGATTCGTGTCGGTTTTTTGTGGATTGCAGTATCAGTAGGGATGGGGAATCCTTTTTCTGTACCTTTGTTCATTCTCCCACCACACCGGTGGAGAGAAGAACCTTTTGGGAGCGCCTTTCACTTTTAAGGAACTCCATGGAGGAGAAATGGCTGATCGTAGGAGACCTCAATATAGCTGATAGACCGTACACATGTTTTTACCCTCATACTTACACCGTTTGAGGTGTTGATTCTCGTGTTTTAGGCCGATTTCACGCTAGGTTGTGCTTGTTTGTGTTATTTCAGGTCCTAGTACGTGAATGAAGGCTTGGGAGCGAGTCTGGGGTCGATTGGACGCAGAACGGACGAAGGGCGAGCTGTTTGGGGAGTGCACGGGCAGACCAGGAGGCTGCACGGCTGTGCACTTGAGCCATTTGGCCGTGCACCTCATGTCGAGGCCATGCACGGGCAGGCTTGAAGCTTGCACGGCCGTGCGCCTGGCCGTGCAAGGTGGATGAAGGCCGAATAATTGATACGGTGCGTTTTGAGGGTGCACGGCCAGAATGGTGTTGTGCACGGCCGTGCACCTGGCCGTGCAACTCGGGAAAGTCAGTTTTAAAGCCTAATTCGAGCCAAAAGTGAGAGAATCGTGTTTTGAGAGCAAAAACAGAGCCCTAGAGAGAGAAAGTGCGAAGAACACATCCTAGAAGCTGTCTTGGAGCTGGATTTCATCGAATCGAGCCGGGAGATCGTCATAGGAGTGGAAATCATCGTCCCGGAGCAGATTATCCTCATCGTTATGAGTATGACTAATCCGATTCTTGTTTTCTCTTCTCTCTCTATGGAGTAGAACCCTTCTCTCACTTGGGTATGAAGAACCCTAGTTCCTTGTGTTAGGGATTTGATTGTAATGACTTGGGATGATGTTACTGCTTGATTTTAATCGAATGACGCATGTTTCATGAATTGATTTGAGTCTGATCAGCTTGTCTCAATTTCTGCTTCAACCTGAGATAGATAGAATCTGATTAGGTTGTTAGAGCCTCTTCATTCGATAGTAGGAGATTGGCTATACGAGAGTTAGCCAGTTGACTGCTTTGTACTGGTGTTCTTGGCGCCAGTAGTGGAGTTCTGTGTTCATAGCCTCAGCTTTCTATCCCGGTGAAGACTAGTCGTCTGCCGGGTAGTTAGACTGAGAGGGCTTGGTCAGCTTAAGAGATTCCAAGCTACTGTCGGATCTTCCGCAGTCTAATCAACAGTAAATCAACCCAGGGAATTGCAATTGAACCTAACTAAGGGGCTAGGGGGACTCAATCCCGAGTGACTCTTACCTGCTTTAGAAACCGAACAATTTACTGCTTTCTTGTTGCCTTTACTTTTCACAACAATCACTCGACTTAGTTTGCTAAATAATAGAGAATCACGGAGTAAGCAGTAGATCTAGACCCCGGGTTGATAATTAAACTTGCCTATACTGCAGTCCCTTTCATTGGTTACACTTGGCCATTGTTAGGTGTTGTGTTTTAGCGTGTCAAGTTTTTGGCGCCGTTGCCGGGGAGCCCTCTAGATTATTGGGGAAACGTGAGAATTTGTTACTCTAGCTTTTATTTACTGCATTTTATCTCTTCCACCTGTGTGCCTTCACAGGTTGCTTCTGCTGATTGTGTGCAGGTAGTGCATGACCCGTAGCCAGTCGGGAGGACTACTACCATTAGACCAGGAGCTTGAACGAACCTGCTGGAACTCCAAGCGGGTTCTAAAGGCGCGACTGGCTACGGAGAAGGCGCTAACACAGCTGCAGTTAGGCGAAGAAGAAGAAGAAGGAGAGATGGGTGATCCGCAGAACCATGCTGTGATCCCCGAGGAGCAAACCATGGGATCCTACTGGACCGCTAGGGCTGCGGACATGAGGTCCCCCATTCAACACCCTCAGGTCCCAGCCAACAACTTTGAGGTGAGCACCTCCGTGATCACCATGCTGCGCGGTTCAGTAGTGTTCCGTGGTAAGGAGGGAGAGTGCCCTCGATCACATCTCAGGCGATTCCACGAGCTCATCGATGGAATCAAGATCAATGGGGTACCGGCAGATGCCATCCAGCTGAGGTACTTCCCATTCACTCTGGAGGGACAGGCCAAGGAGTGGCTAGACACTCGACCTCCGGGCTCCATCACCACGTTCGCCAACCTGGCGGACAAGTTCCTCACCCGCTACCATCCTCCATCCAAGACAGCTGATCTCCAAAAGCAGATCACACATTTTGCTCAGGATGAGACCATCAGGGATGCATGGGAGAGGTACAACAGCCTTTTCCTCAGGTGTCCCAATCATGGTTTCAACGATGCGTTCAAGGTGGGCACCTTCTATCACGCCCTCTTCCCGGAGGACAAGCAGCTGATCGATTCGGTTTGTGGCGGGAACATGCTGACCAAAACCCCGCCACAGCTGAATCAACTCTTTGAAGAGATGGCGGAGAATGGTTATGATTGGGGCACTGCCAGGAGATCGAGGAGAGCACCAGGCCGGGGTGTGCATGCTGTGGGCACCCAGTCATCTGATTTGGTGCAGGTAGTATCAAAGCTGGTCTCAGCTATCGATCGTTCCGGGATGATTCCAGGGACCGGACAGCAGCAGGCGATGCTCTTCCAGTGGTGCGAGAGCACCCATCATATGGTGGAAGACTGCCAGGCGATGAAGGAATCGACCACACCCCAGGAGCAGGTAAACTTCATCAATAACGCCAGGCGCAATGACCCCTACAGCAACACGTACAATGAGGGGTGGCGCCAGCATCCTAACTTCTCCTGGGCTGGGCCAAATCCCAAACCACCAGTTCCCCAGGGACCACCAGGCTTCCAGAGGCCACCATATCAGCCCAGACAGGGGCAATTCCAGCAGCAACACCAGTCTCTTTATCAGCCCATGCAGGGGCAGGCTGCTCAATCACAGTCGCGGCCTTTTCAGCAGCCAGGTGCAGCCCTTGCTGCCCCAGTGCAGAATGATAAGATGGCTGACCTGCGGGACTTGGTGGGTTCTC